TTTGGTATACCTTTTCTAGGTACGTTAGCCTGTGACCACGGAAATTGGCCGAGTCAAGTGATGGATTAGTACGGAGAGATTGAGACAGAAGGAGGTACTGGATAGAGAGACCGGGATGGTTTTTAATGTGAAGACAACAACAACAACAACAACGTGCGCGGGACGTCTGGTGGCGGCTCTTGGCCTAGAACTGCTTTCCGTTTCCGTTGTTGTGCTGCTGTTGTTGGATCCCGCCGAGTCCTGGTTCTAACTTCCCTGCCCAGGGCGTGCACACTACCCTCGGCTTTCAGCGCTAGACTATAGATGTTGCGGTTGTAGGTGCTGCTGTCCTCCGGCCGGCTGTGCTGATGGCGGACCCGGTGGCGGTGGGATGGGCCTTTGTTTTTGGCCCTGGTAGTTTACTCAGGACTCTCCGGCCTTTTTCGCTGTCTCATCTCTGCCCCTTGAATAGACTCTCTCCAGACGTTCTCCAAAACTTTTCGACTATCTAAGTGTATTCAGTACAGCATGCACAGGCACAGGCGCGGCGAACGCGCACGAGTTCACATGGCTATGTAGCGCAATGTACATTGGGTATCCATACTCTTCAGAACGGGATCTGTCCTCGTTTACCAGGTTTCTCAGGTCCTTGTCGAAGTTAGACAATCACACCAGCAACAGCTGATATGGGAACCAGTGACCCGAATACGTGTGGGAAAACTTTGGTAATAGTCTCTGGATGGCATAGTGACCGGCGAGAGAACCAACGGGCCGGGAACCAGAACGCCCCACAAACAAATCTTCGGAAACGGGGATCTTTCACTATCAGCCCCGAGTAGGTGGTCCAATCACCAGCCGTAGACCGATGCCACGAAAGCAATCTCTCCGCGCGTGGCCACACTCTCTTCTCCGGTATCGAACACTCGAGCTTCGCCACGAGCCAACCCCGCCTCGGAAACCCAACAGGCCCATCACGACAGGAGTAAGACAGAGGAGACCGTGATGAAGTTTTCTGCTCTGAGGAGAGCGGCGGCCTTCGCCGCGCCCGTGCTTCTCCTTTCTCTCCGAGAGGTGGCGCAGGCGGCAGATGCCGTTTTCGAGGATGGAGTGATGGTGCTCACGGGGGACACAATCGAGCAGGCCATCAAGGACCACTCGCACCTCGTCGTTGAGTTCTACGCACCCTGTGAGTCCCCTTCCCCCCCGGATTGCCACCGTCGGAGTGTTTTGCACACAAGCAAGCGAAAGCGTTGTGCATCTTTCTTGCCCCCTTGGAATCACGAGACACGCAGAGATTGCTCCTCCTCTGCTGTGTGGTGTCTGTAATGCCTGTTCCTCCACCGTATGACCCTACATATCCATCTCCACGCTACTCTTCCACAGGGCGGTGCCGTCAGCGTGCACGATAGCGTGTGCCCAAAAACATTGGTTGCGGGTGCGAGATCGTGCTCTTGTCCCCGAGGAACCAACGCACAAACTCACACGGCGGGAGGTTTTTCTCTCGCATGGCATGCTCTCTCTCTGTCCCGGCGTCTCTTTTTCTTCTCCGCCGTCGAAAAAGAAAAAGAAGGAATGCGCGTAGACAAAATTTTCACTAGCAAGGGTGCTGCTGTACATCTATCCAACTTTGTAGCTATAACCCGTAGGCGGGTTATAAGCGCGGGTGTCCGATGGAGTACGGCTGAAGAGTCCCGGCAGGTGGAATGATCAATGTCCCTGATGTTTTATTAGTGGGGATGTCCCGATTTACATGTAGTGCGCGTTTGTCTAATCGGTTGGAGTATTCCCGCACTACATCACTGGGACCACTACTCTGTACGTAAGAGAGAACGTAGCACGCGGAAAATCTACTGCTGCTACGTAGATCCTGACATGTTAGCACCCGCGTTTATTTCTGCACCACTCAGTACGAGAGGCAGGGGAAACTGAACTCCAAACTTGGATCAAGTCAGAGCGAGGCAACATTTCCCCCCCGCCAAGTGTATCAATCACATGCGTGGTCTTCTTTTCTCAAATGGCATGAGAAACATACCATCCAGTTTAGTTTTCCTGTTGCTGGCGGAACACAGGCCAGCATTCGCCGGTCCGCCCGTTTTCTTTGTTTTATGTAGCACGGTTATCTCTGCGCACTGCAGGCCACACTTATGTGAACCTACTTCTGAACGCTATTAATACACCCTTCGACTACACCGCTATCCCGGGCGACCCATTCAATGCACAGCACGCTGCCTGTTTTGTCTCGGTCTGTTTCGCCTCACTCGCTGCATCGTAGCGCATACCTGCTTGTGTCCGCATCAATCCAGCCACAACACTAGCCCGCGGAAGCGAGATTTACAGCCAGTCATTCCCTCGCTGAGATCCATGCTCGTCAACCGCGAGTGCATGCAAATGCAGTCATGCGCGCGTGCAAGGGTCCACAGTCCACAAGATCGTTTCCTTGAGCTTTTTCTTTCAAAATACTCGAAGAATATTCATCTCCGTCTAATTTACTTCCTCCCTGTTGGTGTTGACCGTACCTTCAACGAAATCAGACGCAATACGCGCGCGAGAGATATATAAAGCCGCTCGGTGAATTATTTAGCCGCCGACCGTATGTGCGACGAAGCCCTCGGTCAACCGCGCACGCGAAACATGTGTAGCGAAGGAAGCAATATCAAACGAACATAGTTCTCCCGTTTGACCCCATATATTGTGTGCAACAACAACGTGCCATCGTCAGACGTGTAGTCTCGTCTATCTCTCTCACCCCTTTTTCTCGTTCTTGTTCGCGGTCAAACCATGCGTGCAGTGAAGTCCGCAGTCATTTTGTTTTGTCTCCCTTGCTCCCCATGATTGTTTTTGCTTTCTCAACGCGGATAGCCAACATGTTTGACTCGGCTACTAAAGTGGCTGTACCATGGCTATCCTCATTCTTAGTTTTAAGTCGACGTTGTCCTTGCTACGTTCTCATTGGACACTTTGTTTTTTTCGCGCCTTTGGGCGTCTTGCTACTGTAGTTCTCCATGCAGGAAGGACTGAATATTGTCTCACACACACATACCCCTGTCAGTGTAACAGCCGCGCAAGTAACGACCATCATGAGTGCCAACGTTGTCGAGCACCGCTCGCTCGTGTCTCGACCGGCTCGCCGACAGAGATATTCGCACGGTACATTTTATAATATACGGCGATGTACCGGAAATCACATGGTGGAGTACGGTATCAATGTGACTCGAGCGTGTATGTGCGTAAGAAACGCTAAGAGACAGGCGCAGGGTCTGCAGGGAGATCGCGTACCGTCTCGTCCCCAGGCCCGTTCCCTGAGATCCTTTCGTCCTTGCCTCCCCTCCCCTTTCTCCCGTCGTGCGTGTGCGTTGGGATGCGATCAGGGTGCGGCCATTGCAAGAAGCTGGCGCCGGCCCTGTCCGAAGCGGCGACGAAAATGAAGGAAGTCGACGAGAAGATCGTCTTCGCCAAGGTTCGGTATCTATCATACAATTGTCGTGCTTATCTTTCCCGCACCTAGTAAAGTAGTTGTTGAGGTTTCATCTTGCCTGGTGCAGAAGGCGTTTCAGAATGGGGGTACGGTATATACGTCTTTAAATCAAAGACATTCCGTGGTGGTCGAGGATATTCCGTGGCACTCCAGAGGTGTAATGTTTTTTGTTTGTTTTTTTTGCCGGGTGCAGGGGGCGTTTTGGGATGGGAGGGTAAGATATTATTTATGCTTAAAATCAAGGGCATTCCGTGGTAGTGAAGGATATTCCGTGGCACTGCAGACAAGCTGGGGCGGAGCACGTTTCTCGGGGGTGGAGGGGTCCACCGACCGGGCTCATTCCGGGGGGGAGGGGTGGGGGGTGTCCTCATGGGTCGCTTGCCTAGGTCTTCGGGCCATTGAGCACGCGCCACCCCATGCGGTACGGAGCTGCACCGTTGCAGATCCTGACGGAGACAGGCGCAAGCACTAGTCGTGCGGTCTTGAACGTCCCTGCCTGGCCGTGTTTCACGAACCGGAACATGTTGCTTCTTCTGGTCCCTCCGTCTGAGCGATCTGTAGTGGGAGGGACGGGGGAAGCGAAGCGAAGTTGCGGCTCGCCGTCCGTTAGTTTGACCGCGCTGGCTAGGCACCCTGTTGATAGTCAAGCCTGATGCCGCAGTCGGCATTCTTGAGGAATGTGGTATGTTTGCAAAACTTGTGGTGTAGGCTTCCCCTGCACGCCCGTGAATATGAAACGCTTGACGGACCGTCGTGACACTCGTGTTATGCGACCCCCTCTTGAGAGGATGGCCCGTCACATCTGTCTTGCCAAGAAACACCCGTCGTCCCGGTGGTCTAGTGGGTAGCCTCGCAGCCTGCTTAGGGCCAGGTCATGGGTTCGAGTCCCGACGGAGTGAGTTTTTTCTCGCTTATTTAATCCTGGTCTCCGTTGGAAGCGACGCGCTGCAAAGGTCGTTGTTAGTAAACTCGACCGACTTGATAAGTCGCGAGGGAAGGGATTGCTGTACCCTTCTCGCGACAAAAATATCTCAGGCTGGAACCGCAGGAGGGGTCCTCCTATGTGACCCCGGTTGGGTCATCTAGCTAGTAGAAGTGGAGGATAGGGGCCAGAGGGGGAGACGACAGAGTCCAATGATGGGAGACAAATATATATATATATATCACGTGGTCTTTGCGCTGCTATCGTTTCCGCTCGTAGTGGCAGATTCATAAGTAGGAACGAGCAGCGCCAGATGCACTCCTTTCACCGCTTACGCCAGCTCCTCCAACCCCGGTAATAAACCGTACATCAGACTTGCTCAGCTTACGCCTAAAATATTTTTGCTTGCTGAAAGCACATCGCAGTGATACTATTTTTGAGGTACAGCAGTAGTGCCACGATTGTTTCCCAACCTCACCCACCCTGCCTCTTTTGTGTGAATCTTCACGCGTGTCATACCGTCCTTGTTTTTGGTTTGTCCCAGATGGACTGCACCGCGGATGGGAACAAGGAGTTCAAGGAGAAGATGGGCATCAAGGGCTTCCCGAGCTTCCGGGTGCGTTTCTCAACAGCGATTTTTTCACACGTGCAGCTTACATGGCGTTTTTTTATGTGCACCGCCATTAGGTCATTGTCGCTCGCAGTGCTAGCTTGTCTGAGAAAGTCACAGAACGGGGTCGCTGGTAGCGGGTGACCCCTCTTGCCGCACTAGCACCCTGCATACCGTTGCGTGTGTATGTTTTTTGACGTCCATTTGTGTCAGTGACCCCACACTAGTCTGAGAAAGGCACCAGACAGTAAACTAGCAGTTGGTGACCCTCTGGACGCACTCTCACACCCTGCATGGCCGTTGCCTTGTGTTTGGTGTTTGTTCCGTTCTTTTGGGCATGGCGGTGTTGATGCCTGTCTGCAGATGTTCGAAGGCACTCTGGAGAGCGCGAAGGAACACAAGCCGCCGAGGGTGATGCCCCAACTGATGGACTACTTCAAGGCCATTAAGGTAAGGAGACGAATCGAAGGGTATATGCGGTGGCGGTTGTGGTGCTGCCATGTCATTGATTTCGCGTTGTCGAACGGATCCTCGAGACCAATAGATGACTCCGTGTCCCCATCCACAAAGCCGAGCGCCACGGCGGTTGCTGAACGCGCTTGAGGGATGCAGCGTTGTCGGTCAGTCCACTGCCGCTCGCTCCTCATCGAAGTGGCATGGCAAAAAAAGCGGAGAGAGGCCGTGAACTCCAAACGTTGCCGCGGCCACCTGACCTGGCACGCACGGTGTTTGCCGAACAAATTTATCCAGGATGGAGTGGAGCCCCCCCCCCCCCCGCCGGCGCCCAAGCGCCCCCCGGCGCCCCCCCTGGTGGAGCCGGAGGACAGCGAGGTGACCGTGCTCACCAAGGCTAACTTTCAGGAGTTTGTCGCGGGCGAGTTCGCTGTGGTCGAGTTCTACGCTCCGTGGTGCGGGCACTGCAAGAAGCTCTTCCCGGAGTACACCAAGGCCTCCAAGGAGCTCAAGGAGATCGACCCTACCATCAAGTGAGTTAGGCAGTCAGTCCTTCATGTTTTGTATGCGTGCATAGATAGAAGACCTCCAACGAGCTCGAGGAATCAGGCCCTACCATCAATAGAGTCAGTACTTTCTTTCTTGTTTCGTGTATGCGGACATGCATGCAACGTGAGCCTTCAATCCAAGCACACGTGCCCCGTTAGTAAGCAAGGTTGAGAGGAGGAAGAGCTACGCCCTTGCCGGCCTTGAGGAAGTGTGTGGGACAGAGTATTCTGTGTGTACCCGGATGGCGGCAGCTCGCAAGGTCAAGAGGCGAGAGAAAAACCACATGTTTTCGGTAGAAGAGAAATGCCAGCGACGGTCCGCATCTGACAACGACGAACAACAACACGAATGATTAAAAAATTGTCTGATACTCGAGCGGGTAGGTTTTCTTTGCCCCGTGAAGTACAAAGAATGTTGATGGTTTTGATCAATTCAGCTACGGCTAGCACTGCCACTTAAGAAGCTCTAGTTTTGGCCTAGGCCAGAGTTATTAGCTCGTAGGGTTAAGCTACAAATGGCCGCTGTATAGGTTCCTGTGTGGGGGTTCTTAACGGATCTCACAAATGTTGCGCAATTCAGATTTCGAAGCTCAGTTTTTCGGTGTGAACGCGAGAACTGTAGTACGAACCGTTCTCTCTCTCTTCTTTTCGTTCAGGTTGGGCAAGCTTGACATGGACGACCCGAAGACGAAGGCGGTGGGTTCCAAGTTTGGGGTGAAGGGCTTCCCGACCCTCAAGATCTTCCGAAACGGCAAGCCGGAGGACTACACCGGGCCCAGAGATGCGGAAGGCATCGTCAAGTTCCTCACCAACCTCAAGAAGGTGTGTGTGTGTGTTTTGTGTTTATTGGCATCGACCGCGCTAACCGGCTGACCAAGGAAAAGACGTCAGTCTAAGTGCGGGTGAAAGCCAAGAACACTTTAAAATGCCATTTACCAGGTGTGAGTGCGTCATTTGTCAGGCGTCAAGTAGCTCACGAACTGGAAGAAGGTGTGCGTGTTTTATAGGTTAGCATCGACCGGCATCGTGAACTACCTCGCGAACTTCAAGGAGTGTGTGCGTAGGCTGTTAACATTGAATTCACAAATCTGCGGGCGAAAGCGAAAAGGCTGATAAGCTCTTGAGTACCAAACTTCGACGTTAGCACCGTTGACGAGGGAAAGCGATGGCTGGACCCTTCTCGCGATCAAGAACATAAAGAAGAAAAAAGCCGTGGTGTTTACCCCCATCCTGTGTGACTCTGGATGGTTGTAGCTGTACGAAAAATACGCTGCAAGGTGTTGTACTCTACATGGACTGAAACACGTGTACACGCGTCATCACGAGAAACCGGGGCACTGCCGCCATGATGAATATGACGAGAACGACAGAGAGAGGCGGTAACACGTCCATGCCTACATACATACATGCATGTCTTTTTAACCGAAGGTTGGGGCAGCACCGAGCGTTGTTGGGTACAACTTTATTTCTCTGTGTCGTGGGACAAATACCGAACAAGAGGGGTTTGTTCACTTGTGTGGGATTCGTGCTGAGGTCACACGCAGCAGTAGAAATTAATTGCTTACCCCCATTCGTGTGTGTTGAGAGCGCCGTGACCGTGCACCTCTTGCTGGAGACAAGAAGGCAGCAGACTGTTGTTAGTAGAAGGACGGCTGTGAGGAAACGAGCCTCCCCCCGCCACCCCCCACCCCCCCCCGCCCTTTCGATGATGGGTTGTGTGTGGTGTTATTTTTTTACGTTTGTGTGTCTTTGCAGCTACCGTCGCCAGCAGAAGACTTGGATGATGATGATGATGATGATGATGAGTTTGATGATGATGACGACGACGACGACGATGCAAAGGTAGTAGTGGCTCACCCGGTGAACGATGGTGTAGTATAACGACGACGAACAGGCAGCTTCAAACAGTATTTAGCTGCTCTTTGATACTTAGCTACCAAGTAGGACCGACAGAACTCGACAAAAAATGGCTAGAAGGAAGCGAGGACGAACGAGAGAGCGCCTAAACAAGTACCACATATTGTACCACAAGCTACGCTGGCAGACGATGACACCGAGATGGCGGAAGGAGATACATTTGTGCCCCCTCCCACACGCACACTTTACGTGGCTGACAAATCAACCATGCCTACATACATTTTGGCGTTGTACGATAGAGATGCCGGGGGGCAGGCGAGGGCCGGCAGAGAGCGTAAGGTCGTGCATGATTTTTGACCCCACCCTCGCATCCCGCCCGCCCAACCATGGCTCTGCCGTACGTACGCATGGTTTCAACGCAAACAGAGCATGGCAAGCAAGGAGGAGGAGGCCGTACCTGTTAAGGAAGAGCTCTAAGAACAAGGGAGATAAGATTGTGCCACGGATGGAGGAGGCGTTATTTCGAAACCCTTCCGTGGTTCTCTTGGGCGTGACCACATGCTATTGACTGTTGGTAGCCCTTTTTTTTACTGGCGGCGGCGGCAGTGGATAAAGAGACGTATGCATACGTTGCGAATACGCGCTCTTGGCTGTTGCCACAATGATGTTAAGGGGGGGCATTCAGGAAGATGGCCAGCAAACAAAAGGTGGACGAAGTCAGGCGGGGACGAGGTAGCAGCAGCAGCTGTGGACAGACGGCGTTGTTCGTGTACGTGCCTCGGTGAATAGAGTCGGACGGGTGCAGTCGCCAAAATGGTTGACTTGTGCCTGTCCCTCCGGGGTGAGACACGCGCTCGCGCTCTGGTGTCCCCTGTGGTTTTGTTTTCTTGTGCTAGTAGGGTTACCGCAGGAACATATGGAATCTTGCGAGAGCGAGTTAGTTGCTTGCTTTGTCCTCGCGTATCGGGTGGAGGTGAAGGGCTCTATCCATCGGTCTTCTTTCTCCGAGGTGTAGTCTATCCGGCCATGGTTGCTAATGGTTTGTGTGGTACTGTGGAGAGCTTTGTGTCGTTCGAGCATTGCGCGGGAGGAGGGGTGGCGGGTCGGCAAAAAGACCCATTGTTGGTGCGCGCGTTGCTCACGCCTCCCTCTCAGCCTCTTCTTGGCTGTTGGTGTTGATTCCAGCGCGTTGACAATTTTGTTGTTTTGTTGATGAGAGGGAGACAGCTGTCGAGAAGAACAACGCTCAGGCGCGACGGAAGGACTCTTTTGCCCAACCGGACATTGTGGTGGAGGGATGCCAACCACGCAGGACAAGAAGAGCAACTGTCTTCGGGAAGAAACCTGGTAGATTGAAACCTCTCCCTCCCTTGGACGACTCTGCTTGCTTGCGTCTGTGCTTAGCCCTCCGAGATGTTTCGGAAGATAAGTGTTCCGAGAACTGGCTGGCCGGGGTGTTAATGTTGTTGTTGTTGTCTTCACATTAAAAACCATTCCGGTCTCTTTATCCAGTACCTCCTTCTGTCTCAATCTCTCCGTACTAATCCAGCACTTGACTCGGTCAATTTCCGTGGTCACAGGCTAACGTACCTAGAAAAGGTATACCAAAATGAAATGGACCCCAAGGGTTAGCAGAGCGATAAAATACAAGAAAACAAAAGAATCAGAAACAAATAAAAAAATAAATAGTGGAACATGCGCACCACCAGCCTGGGGGGTAGCCTTCCGGAAGGACCCCAAGGATCAACAGTACGTGCCAGTAATAAAACAAAACAAAAACGAAATGGATTTGATAAAAAAAGACAACTCAGCAAAACAGGCGAGCTGGTCCGAATCCACCGCACGTTCGAAGGCTTGGGGAAAAAATCTCCGACATTTTTTTTTACATTCTGTTGCCGACACGACTTTGCTTGCGGACTGCCTGGCACACACACGTGGTTGCTTTTCGGTTTTCTTTCACGAGGAACGGCTGCTGACTTCGGCCGGCTGCCGGCACCACCACCACTTCTTTCATGTTCGGGCTTTCTCGGTGTGTAGACGAAGTCTAGCGGCACCGAGTTGATACAAGCAGGCAAAACTATCACGAGCACTCTTGTGGTCAACGCGCTTCGCGCACTTTTTGGCTCGTCAAAGCTAGCTAACAGTTAGCACCCGCACTTCAGAACCTGACAATGAACGAAGAAACTGATAAAGCATCGAAAAACTCGAAACGTCTTCAAGAACTTGAGCAACATTTTTGAGCCCGGTCAAACCTACACCAAAACCTACTTGTACTTCGACGAATATAGCGGCCAGCATAATCTAACTACGATTTCACAACTAACACCAGCCTCCGCCAAAACTCAAGGTTCTGAAGTAGTACGTGCGGGCGCTAACTTGTCGCTGTTGTTGTACATCGCATGCCTTCTTCGCCTTCAACGTCGTTACCACAGAGTGTAGTAGTGCCTGCCCACTCGTCGTGTCGTACGAAAGATGATCGTGAGAAACCGAGGCTCAGATTTGGACAAAAATGACGAAGCTACTCCCTACAAGCTGGGCCAGCCAAGAAGCTAACATTCAGTCTTCCAGCCATAAATTTTGAAGGAATCAGAATTGGAACGAGCTCGGCACATCTGCTCAATCAGCCAATCACAGCGGATTTGCCCATGCCTCTCGAAATCGTGTTGAACACATTCTCTCCAAAAAAGATAACCCTCCGCATTTTATCTTGGTTTAAGACTGGGGAAAAAAATTATGAAACGCTTTTTTTGCGGCGGAATTTCATTTTTTTTTGAAATTGTGCACAACGGATGCACACAGCACCCGCTGGCACCGAGGAGTGCACAGCATGGAGAGCCTAGTAGCAGCAGTCACACGCAATGGCTGGCAGAGAACCTCTGAACCCGTATGCTATCCAGAGAGGTCTAAGGGGAAGTGGCGGCTACGGCTCATGTTCACAAGCCGGAAAGGAGACAGGGCAACGAAGAAGTACGGCCCCTTGTGCAACACAGAGCAGGAAGCGCTTTGTGGCAGCCTTGCCTTCAGGTACAGCTGGGAGGGCAGCCAACGTGGTCAGCCCTGCGAGGTCAGCAAGGAGAATCTAGTCCCACCTGTTGCAGCGGGTACTACGCTTCCAGCAGGCAAGTCGTGAACTGCGCAGTTGTACACTTGTACAAACACGATGTGGACATGATCATGCAATTTTGATTTTTTTTGTTTTTT